CTGATCGATGTTTCTCTCTCATTGATGTTTCTAACTCTCTATCTCTCTCCTTTCCTCTCTGCAAAAAATCAATAAAATATATTTTAAAAAAAAGAAAGAAAAGAAAACATGTGGATAAAAACGTGTATATGAATGTTCATAGTAACACTATTCACAAAGGCCAATAGGTGGAAACAACCCATATTTCCACCAACTGATGAATCAATAAACAAGATATGGTGTGTACATATAATGGAATATTATTCAGCCTTAAAAAGAAAATTTTGCCTGGCCAGTGTGGTTCAGTGGTTGAGCGTCGACCCATGAACCAGAAGGTCACAGTTTAATTCCTGGTCAGGGAACATGCCTGCCTGGGTTGTGGGCTTGATCCCCAGTAGGGGGATGCAGGAGGCAGCTGATCAATGATTCTCTCTCATCACTGATGTTTCTATTGCTCTCTTCCTCTCTGAAATCAATAAAAATACATTTTTTTTAAAGAAAGGAAAACTTGATACATGCTACGTTATAGAAAATTTGGAAATCCAACTTCCAGTATGATCAGTATTATAATACTGTTGTATTTCCTGTATTTTTGTAAGCATCTTTTGTTTAAACATAGTCTACATTGAAATTTTTATCTTATGCTCTTGTCATTGATTATATCATAATTATTTTCCCATGCTATCTAGTCTTCAAAGCCACCATCTCTTACAGTTATAATATATTCCATGAATGTATTATACTAGACCTAATTAGTTCCTATTGCTGGATGTTCAGGTTTCTTCCTGTAGTGTTATGCATGGTCTGAAGAGTATGTTGATGCAGTACAAGTGAGGGCTTAGCCCCTCCCTTGCCGTTGCTGGCTCGATGTTTGGCACACCTCTGGGTTTGGTCAGAAGTTCTGTTGGCCAACTTGCCTGTTGAACATGTGCTTTGTTAACTACTAGCACTTGAGGCAGCACAATACTGATGCTCTAAAATTTAGGGACAGCTTTTAGCTCATGTTTAAGTAAAACCAGATGGTCTTTCTATTATTTTTACCTCAAAGAAGCAAGGAATTTGTTCCTCTGGAAGAGTGGTTGGGAAAACATGGAAAAAATGAGCATTGTCTGTAAAGGTCAGGACTGGGGGACCAGGGGAATGAAAACAGAAATGAATCAGAGGGTTTTTGTTGTTGCTGTTGATGGGAATTTTTTTTTTTGTATTTTTTGAACCTAGAGTTTTGACAGATCCTTCCATTTTCATTCCCAAAGCTGTAGTTTTCAGCCTGCATGCACATCAGCATCACATGGGGAAGCTTTTAGCAGAATATTAATCCCCAAGCCTTATCTGAAGATAATGCTTTCATTAATCTATGTTGGGGCCCAGGCATATGCAGCTAGGGTTAGGATCCACTGGACAAATAACACGGAAAAATATTCAGCCTCACTGCCCATCAAGGAAACTCAAAATAAAATAATAATGAAGTAATATATGACCATGTAAGCATTAAAATTCATAGCACATGTTAAGCAAAAGAAATTCAGACACAAAAGAATACATGCAGTATGATTCCTCCTAGATGTTTTAGGAGAGACAGAAACCGGAAGAGTGAATGCCTGGGAGTGGGTGGGGGAGCAGGAGATACAGATTGACTGCAAAAAAGTCGGAGAGAACTTTAACCCCTTCCCCGGCAGAAATGTGTATACTCGTTTTCACAAAATGTTCTTTTTCAGTCGTCGACGAGTATACTAAGAAAATATGGTAAAAAAAATATGGTTTATAGGAAGACGAGTTACAAACTGTTTTCATAACCAGCATCAAAAATACTATATAGAACCAAAATAAAAAAATTAGTCTGAAAAAGAAACGTTTTTAACAAAAAAATTGTTGGGGAAGGGGTTAAGGGGTAATGGAAATGTTCTGTACCTTGACTGAAGTAGTGGTTATGTCGGTGTATACATTTGTGGAAACTCATCAAATTGTACATTTGAAATCTGTGCATTTATTATAAGTAAATTATACCTCAATTTAAAAAAAGAATATTGCAAAAATTTCATCAATAGTAGCACCCAATACTAATGCGGATGTGGTGAAATTGCTTCTCTTATATAATGATGGCAAAATTTTGGTAGGATGCTTCTGAATGTTTGTCAAGCTGTTATTACAGCTTTTTGACCAGTAATTCCATTTCTGGGAATATATTCTACAAAAATTAATTTAAAAAAATATGTTTTTATTGATTTTTTTAGAGAGAGAGGAAAAGAGAGGGATAGAGAGAGAGAAACATCAACGAGAAAGGAATATCATGTATATGCTGCCTCCTGCGTGCCCCCCACTAGGGATTGAGCCCACAACCTGGGCATGTGCCCTGACTGGGAATTGAACCAGTGACCTCTGAGTTCCTGGGTCAATGCTCAACCGCTGAGCCACATGTTTTAACATCGATCACAGGCCTGTGAATAATTTTCACTAAATTAGGACTGTTTTGTCAGAGTTGACTCCAGCAGACCTAGAATTGCTCTGAGCTGTTTTGCTAAAGTTCTTGGCACTGACCACTGGTCAAGGAATGAAAATACTGATTACAAGCGTGTTGCTTTGTAACCGTAGGTCCAAGGAGTTTCATGGCAGTTTGCACCACCTTGTCAGCACTGTTTATTGGTAACAATGAGACTGATGATTTGCACCAGTCTCAGGGCGAACCTGGGAAGGCTCTGCTCTTGAGGCTGGTTACATAGCAGAGATACACTCACGTGACCAGGAGAGCATTTAAAAAAAATCTTAGTTGAGATTCCATTTTGGGATCCCTGGTTGTGAGGTGTTCAGTGCATGTCTGTGGTTCGTGACCCGCGGGAGGAGTTGCTTCCGGGCAGGGCCCTTACAGAGGGAAGACCCCTGGGGCTCCTGCCTAAGTGCTCGGACTGCCCGCTGTGAGAGAGCCATGGGTGTGGTGCGTATCCTGACTCCATTCTGTTGCCACGTTGTGCCTTCTCCTGCAGAGCTGTACCTTTGTAAGCTCTGTCGCTGGGGTTCTGTTAGTCTTCTTCAGCAATCAAACCCAATTTAACTGGCACTGTTAGTGCAAGGACATATCAACTTGGTGAAATATTATGCTTTAAAAAATAAGCAAATTGAAAGACTGTAGCCACAGTGAACAATGCTTATGAGATGATATTAAGAGAAAGAGAATATAACCTTTTTCCTTTCTATGATAGTAAAATCAAGGAGTGAACATGGGATGGATTCTAGGTGTGTGTTTTTTCCAAAAATTTGCATTGTTGCCTGGCCGGCATAGCTCAGTGGTTGAGCGTCAACCTATGAACCAGGAGGTCACAGCACAATTCCTTGTCAGGCCATATGTGGGCTCAATCCCTAGTGTGGGGGCATGCAGGCGGCAACTGATCAATGATTATCTCTCATCATTGATGTTTCTATCTCTCTCTCATTCTCCCTTCCTCTCTGAAATCAATAAAAAAAATATTTTTAAAGAAAATGTAACTCCTATAAACCAAATGTAATTTTACTTTTGGAGTTTGATATTAATCTGACATGTATCAGCATTATATATTAAATGTCAATTCCTCTGACAAGCATTGTGGCATTTTACATATAGATCCATCACTTCATTCTCTTACCTCCTCTAATGTAGAAAGAGCACTGCATAGGTTATCAGAGGACCGAGTATTCGTCTAAGATTTGTAAGCAGCATGAACTGAACAGCATGTACTCCCCTGACCAGGATTTCTACATTTCTCAGTAATATGATGATCAAAGCAAGATAATGAATACTATTGGCCTGAAAAATACTCTCTGCTAGACAGCAGTAAATAATGGTTTTTAAGTCATTATCATTGGCATCATCAGCATAGTAGGTAAGAACGTAAAAGAATAAGAAACTTCAATCTATAAAGGAATAAAACAAGACTAAGAGATGAGAGCAGAGAGGTTGGTCATAGAGAAAACACAACAAATGAATAGATATAATAATGGTTGTGTGCTAGGTACTGTTCTAAGTAAGCACTTTGCATGTTTATTCATTTAATTCTTACGATGACTTTACGAGATAACTGTTACTTTGCCCGTTTTACAGATGAGAGCCCTCAGACACAGGGAGTTTACATGACTCACCCAAGGTCACATGACTACTTTCTAGTAGAACCAAGATTTGTAAGAGGCAGTATGGCTCCAGAGTCCATACTCGAACTACTGTGCTACATTCCAGGGCAGAGGAGAGTGGGAGGAATCTGGTGGAATGACCAGGAAATGGAATGAAAGAGCAGGAATTCCAGGAACACTCATTTTTATGGAGCACCTACTATGTACCAGGAACTATGGATAAAAAAGATGAGTGAGACTGTGGCCCATGCCCCTGAAAAGTCAACAGTATGGTGAGGAAGACAGGCAATAAGTCACATTATTTCAAAACAACATGGCAAATTCTTAAATAAGTACAGAGAGGCATATACTAAGCGATATAGGAAGGCAGAGAATGAACACTTCTCCCAGCCCAGGCTGGTGGTGTCAAGAAAGGCTTCTTAGAGAATGTCTAAGAAGTATGATTTGAAATGAAGAGTTGAAATGGGGAGAGGGTGGTCCAGGTTGAGGAAAACAGGAGAAAAAGCCTGAAGGCAAGTGAGAAGGGTGTATTGGAGGCAAAGCAAACATTTCCCTCCCAGAGAGAACTTGTTTTTGTTTACCTCACATGGACATCAAGCTGCTTCAGAAATTTCCCATATTCTTTATGTAGAGCTTCCTTTTCTTGCTGCAACCCAGACACCTTCTCTGACAATTCCTGGTAGCTCTTGAGATACTGAAAAACATTGATTTCAGAGAGTAAGGGAGAGGGAGAGATCAAAACATCAATGATGAGAGAGAATCATTGATTGGCTGCCTCCTGCATGCCCCCTACTGGGGATCGAGCCTGCAACCCTGGTGTGTGCCCTTGACCAGAATGGAACCTGGGACCTTTCAGTCTGCAGGCTGACGTTCTATCCACTGAGCCAAATCAGCTAGGGGTGAAAAACATTTTTTAAAATGAGAATATTCTGTGCTAAATAAAGGTATGTTGTTGATGGAAAGTGAATTGACAAAGCCTTTCTGCTGAAAAAAGCTTACAGTGGCTCCAGCTTCTGACACTGTAGTAGCTTCCTGTGATTTCTGCTATTTCAGATTTTCTGCAGCTCTTTGCCTTTTTGCTGGTGGACTTTTGCTCCACCAGCCTTTCCAATAGTTTTGCAAGCATCTAATTACCTATATAAAAAGTCTTCCAGCTCACCCTAGCCGGTTTGGCTCAGTGGCTAGAGCCTCGGGTCAAGGGCACATACCTTGGTTGAAGGCTCCTCCCTAATCGGGGCCCTGGCCGGGGGCCCTGGTCGGGGCCCTGGTCGGGTCTCGTGCAGGAGGCAACCAATCAATGTGTTTCTCTCACATTGATGTTTCCCTCTGACTTTCCCTCTCCCACTCGCCCTAAAGAATCAATGGAAAAATATCCTTAGGTGAAGATTAACAAAACAATGAAAAAAAAGTCTTCCAGCTCAAAGTCTATAAAGTGAAAGCTGTTTTCCTGAGCTAACCCTGCCTAATAAAGTATCTGGTTCTAGAAATGGCTCCTCAAATATAGGAAGCTCAAAGATTGGTTATCTGACCAGGTTAGATGTAAAGGCAGTATAATCTTGTCACTAGTATTAGATATCCATGACGTAAGGGTCGATTAGGTTAGAGTTTATAGTTGCCTGTCCTGAAGTACTTTGGGAGACCACCTGATCTGTATAAAGAATGTGATAGCAGAATTGAGAAGTACAAGGCGTTTGGGTGGCTTAGCCATAGCAGTTCTTTCTGATCTTCTACTTATCCCTAACTCTCCCTCCCAACAGTTTTATAAGCATGTTATTGCTTGTGTTAAATCCCTTCTTGTTCAAAATACCTACAGTAAATTCTGCTTTCCTGGCTGAACCCTGACTAAACGAATGGGTAAAGTGCTAGGCACTCCATAAGTATTAGCTATTGCTTGATGGCAGCGATTTGCAACCTTTTTCATCTCATGGAACATATACACTAGTTACTAAAATTCTGCGGCACAACAAAATATATTATCATTTTTGCTGATCTGACACACAAAAAAAGTGTAATTTTGATTCATTTATACCAGATGGCTACTGTTATGTTGGCTGTAGTCATTTTTTTATTTGACAATCTAACGGAAAAGAAGTCAATGCCCCTCACTAAACAGTGAGGTACTGAATGTTTAAAAATTTTTTGTGGCACACCAACTGAAAACCGCTGCTCTTTGGGAACTGGAAAACTGAGAAGCATGTCTATTTACTGTCTTACCTCATCAGATTTTCTTTTTTCATTTTCCAGTTGTTTAAGTTGGGCCTCTTGTTGCTGAATTCTGTGTTGTTGCTGAGAACTGGTCATTTCTAGTATATTCTCTTTATCTAGTAAGATTTTCACTTTTTGTTGTAGCTCATTTATATTTTGATCTAGGAGTTTCCTGAAGGCAATTAATATACATTAAATCACACCGTGAATTGCAAAGCTTTGCAAATGAAACTCTTTGAGTTAAAATTGTGTTTTTTAAAATCCTTATCCAAGGATATGTTTTTCATTGATCAGAGAGAGAGAGAGAGAGAGAGAGAAACATTCGTGTGAGAGAGAAACATCGATTGGTTGCCTCCTGTATGTGCCCCAAAATGGGATCAAACCTGCAACCTGGGTATGTGCCGGGACCAAGAACGGAACCCGTGGCCCTTCAGAGCAAGGGACAGCACTCCTACCAACTACACCACTTGGCCAGAGCGTTCCCCATTACTTTTAAGATAAAGTTCAAACTCTTAAATATAGCTTGCTAGCTAGCCTCATTTTAGCTTACCTTTCTAGCCTCATTTTCGTGCCACTCCCTATACCCACAAACATTTTGTGCCAGCCAAAATGAACTCCCCCAAAATGAAACAAGTCATTCTCCAGACTTACTCCTCCTCTGCAACGCCAGCCTTTTCCCCATCTTCCTTGTCCAGGCCTTCCTTTGCCTAATATTCTCTACTTAGCTTTCCCATGCCAACTGCTTTAGTCTCAGCTTAATAGCTTCCTTAGAGGAAGGCTTTCTTGAGCTCTCTAGGCCAGATTAGCTGTCCTTGCTACCTGCTATCACAGCATCATAAACTCGCCTCTGTATAACACATATTTCATTGCAGTTGCAAAGTCTTATGTAGAGGGTATTCTTTATAGTGAAACCGAGAGTCCTGATTTAGCATATGATTTCTGTTGACTATGTAGCCTCAGCATTCTATTCAGTTTCTTCACAGCCTGCCCCATAAACCTTAGTTCTCCCCTTACTAGTCATTAACCTGAGGCAACAAAAACAATGGCCACACCTTTACTAAAGGTCACAAGGTATGGGTTTCTGTTAAGCTAAAGATAATATCTTGACCTAAGTTATGTTTCAGCTCCTGTGTCCTAAGGTGGAATGACTCCCTGGCTACTTTCCCATAAAACTGGGCAGAGGGATGCCAGAGCTGTCTGCACAGTTTCGAACCCCTAACCCACAGTGTCTTGTGATTTGCCCTATATAGTCTATAACCTACATGCCATTGGAGTGTTTAGGGTTTTAAGCATTAGCTCCCCATTCTCTGGGGTGTTGCCACTTATAATAAGTTAGCAAATATTTCCCCACAGCAATTCTTGGTGTTTAGTATTTGGCTCTGCTAGTGCCAGGTGGCTGCACTTTTTCTGTTCGATAACAATACCATCTATAATAATAAAAGCATAATATGCTAATTAGACCAGACAGCCAAACGACCTTCCAGATGTCATTCAGATGTCCTTCCGGATGAAGCTGCAGCGGCGGGGGCCAAGGCAGAGGTGGTTAGGGGTGATCAGGCAGGCAGGCAGAGCAGTTAGGGGTGATCAGGCAGGCAGGCAGAGTGGTTAGGGGTAATCAGGCAGGCAGGCAGGCGAGCAGTTAGGAGCCAGTGGTCCCGGATTGTGAGAGGGATGTCTGCAAGAGGGATGTCTTACTGGCAGTCAGACATCCCCTGAGGGGTCCTGGATTGCAAGAGGGTGCAGGCCGGGCTGAGGGACATCCCTCCCCCCTTCCATTCCCCCTCCGTTCTGTGCACGAATTTCGTGCCTGAGGCCTCTAGTTATTTATAAAAACAAAAGTGTCTAAAAAGCATTTTACATGAATAATGATAGATGTAACAGGATGCTGTACATATATTTAAAAGGATAGTATGAAATAAATCAGTAACAGAAAGATAGCTGGAAAATCCCAAAAGATTTAGTGATTAAACAAACAGTTCTAAAAAATGCATTTGTCAAAAAAGAAGTCTCAAGAAATTAAAAAATATTTTGAACTATGCTTATTTGACATGAAAATGAAAATACAACTTACAAAATTCATGAGGTGCATCAAAAATAGTGCTTAGAGGGAAATTTATAGCATTAAGTGCAAATATTATAAAAGATGAAAAAAAATCAACAATCTAAGTTTCCACCTTAGGAAAACTAGAGAAAGAGACCAATATAAACCTAAATTGAGCAGAATAAGAGAAACAATAAATATTAGATGAGAAAACCATGAAATTGAAAACAGGAAAACAACAGAGAAACCATGAAACTAAAGCTGGCTCTTTGAAAAGATCAATAATATCGATAAACCTCTAGGCTAACCAAGGAACAGAAAACATAAATTACTAATATCAGAAGTGAAAGAGGGATCATCACTATTGTCAGGGAGAAAAATTTTTCCTCTTCCCAGAGGGGAGCAGAGTAGGACTGATAGGCCAGGTACAGAAGGTCACCAGGGCAAAAAGCCCCAGGTCACTAGCAACAGGCAAAACTGGGAAAACAAGGATCTTGCCCTGTGTAACCTTTCCTCCCTTGGCATATTGATGGTCATGCGGGTTGGATCCTCCCCTGACCTTCCCTCCCCTGGCATGTCCATAGTCATGTGGTAGACCCCCTTGAAGGAGGAACAAAGCGCTGAAGAGTGGCTTCGTGCGACTCCCAGGCAGGCCCTTGCATGACCACTCCTTTAAGCATTTAACCCCACAGATAACATCTAGGCCTCAGTTGTGTTCAGCTCCAGGCTCAGAAAAGCTGCAAAACCAGACAAGCAATACCATGACTGACATCAGGACCACTTGCATGACTAATGACCCCTCTCCTACAGCTCACTTCCTCTCTCTCTGTAGCTTTCTAATACACTTGCTCTTATAGTTTGAGTCTTGGTTCTGAATTCTTAGCCAGAACTCAAGTACTGAAGGTCTGACTCCACTGGTCAAATACCTGGTGCCATTTCACCACCAACTCTTCTAGGTTCTTCTGGTTGGTCTAATAGTTAAATTAACATGAAACAGATTAGCAGGAGAAAAACAAACTAAAGTTTATTAACATACTTCCTGCACAAAAGGGAGAGATGCAGGAACACTGAAGAACTTGCCAAGATGACAAAAGCCTTCACCTTTATCTTCAGCTAAAGACAAAAAAAAAAAAAAAAAAAAAAAAAAAAAAAAAAAAAAAAAAAGATGGTGGCGGTGGGGAGTCAGTTATGGAACGTTACCAGGAAAAGCACAGTAAACAAGCATAATATTATTGTCCACACCTTCTCAATTGATCATTTCTAGAAATATCCTCCTCTTCATGGTATAGTGAGGGAAACACCCTTACAAATGTAAATGCCCTTTTACAAAGAGTAACTTCTACTTGTTTTTCAGGGTTCTCCCTTGTCTTCTGTTTCTTAAAATTAGCCAGCTTAAATAAAATACTCAATATCCCAAAGAGGCATATTTTGAGGTAGCAAACTCTGTTCCCTTCCTCTATTGATCCTCTGGACATTAAGAGACAGGAAGGGGACTTCTCCCAGCTCCTCACCACCTCCGCCAGCTTCCTGCAGTCCTTGCACCCGACGGTATGTCTCAGGCTGAGTTTGACAAAGCTGCTGAGGATGTTAAGCAACTCAAGACCAAGCTAGCAGGCGATGAGATGCTGTTCATCTACAACCGCTACAAACAAGCAACTATGGGTGACATAAATACAGAACGGCCTGGGATGCTGGACCTCAAAGGCAAGGCCAAGTGGGATGCCTGGAGTGAGCTGAAAGGAACGTCCAAGGAAGATGCCATGAAAGTGTACATCAACGAAGTAGGAGAACTAAAGAAAAAATATGGAATATAGGGACTGGGTTTGGCTGCCAGCTACGCATGTCATCTAAACTGATAATCATGCCTTGTTTTTCTAATACCACGGATAAAGTGAAATAATGAAATTACCTTCTTCCTGAACACTGTCCAGGATATGGCTCTAACAGATTGAGGAGCAGAAATGGTTACCTCGCAGAGTAGTTTTTAATCTATAGATCAATTAAAACTGCATTTGTTACTTAAAAAAAAAAGACAGTAAGGGAATATTATGAACAACTCTATGCCCACAAATTTAATAACAAATGTGAACTAAATGGGGCCACATGCTAACCTGACAAGCTCAGGAAAGGCCTACACGTGGCCTTGTAAACTCAGAGACCTAAAGTAACCACAAAGAATAGTCTGAGCCGAACCGGTTTGGCTCAGTGGATAGAGCGTCGGCCTGCGGACTCAAGGGTCCCGGGTTCGATTCCGGTCATGGGCATGTACCCTGGTTGCGGGCACATCCCCAGTGGGGTTCGTGTAGGAGGCAGCTGATCGATCTCTCTCATCGATGTTTCTAACTCTCTATCCCTCTCCCTTCTTCTCTGTCAAAAAATCAATAAAAAATATTTTTAAAAAAAGAAAAAAAAGGTCTGAAATTAAAACTTAAAAAAAAAAGAAAGCTATTTTTATTGACTTCAGAGGGGAAGGGAGAGGGAGAGAGAGAAACATCAATGATGAGAGGGAATCATTAATCGGCTGCCTCTTGCATGCCCCTATTGAGGATTGAGCCTGCAACCCGGGCCTAGGCCCTGACCGGGAATCAAACCATGACCTCCGGTTCATAGGTAGACATTCAACCACTGAGCCACATCAGCCGGGCATGAAATTAAACTTTTTAATTAAAGAGCAGCCTGGCTGGCGTGGCTCAGTGGTTGACCATCAACCTATAAACTAGGAGATCATGGTTTGATTCCTGGTCAGGGCCACATGCCCAGGTTGCAGGCTCAATCCTCAGTAGAAGTGTGCAGGGGGCAGCCAAACAATGATTCTCTCTCATCATTGTTTCTTTCTCTGTCTCCCTTTCCTTTCCCCTCTGAAATCAATTTAAAAAACAGTCTTTGGTGGGTAGTTCATGTCCAAGGCTGGTATCCTCCTCCACAAAGATCAACTTTGATCTTAATTGAGCCTATTGTCTTTTTGCATCTAGATAACATGCCTTTGGAATGTTGGGGTAACTTGTAATCTTTCCTCCCTAGACATAATATCTAGGCCCTCAGTTGTGTTCAGCTCCAGGCTCAGAAAAGCTGCAAAACCAGACAAGCAATACCATGACTGACATCAGGACCACTTGCATGACTAATGACCC